AACTACATGATTAGAAGAAGCATTTCACTACAGATTTAACATATTCAGTAACACACTCCAGAGCAAGAGTACATCTCTTTCACAAGTGGGTGCAAGTTTCTAGGTTCACAGTTGAGTTAATACAGTTATACAATACTGAACTTAGCATAAGCCCTGGAAGACATAAAATTGAATGAGTTTTTTAACTTTTAAAAAAGATCTCCTTCAAGAATTTTTGCAGACTTAATATGGTCATCATTAATGGTTAACGGATAAGTATATCATCAAGTCCTGGTGTACTACCTATTAATATTAGTTGTGAAGAGCTAGTGGAAAAAGAGAGATGGATAAAGGGATTGGAACAGACGGATGATAGCCTTTCTTCAAACGATAAGATACTTTGAGAATATGGCATTGTGGTTAGTTTCTAAAAAACAGAACAACAGCTTATTGCATAAAGAGTTTAAGTTATTAAAACTGCAAAAGTGTGGGATGCCTGACTTTTTGGGTCTCTAGCAGAACAGTAATTACACAAGAAAGTAATTAGAAATTGATAAACCTTACTGGAGAACTGTCTACTTCTCTCCTCCACAGTTGAGTCTTAAATTATTCCCCGATCCCTACCCATTTAAAAAAGAACACCTTCAATTTTACAGTAATTCAGATAAGACATCCAAAATCTTAGAGAAAGGTTAAAAATTTACTAAATCTCTGCAAAAGTAAATAAGTACCAGTAGTAGACTTGAAATTTTTCAAAAGGATATAAAAATTCTATAAAATGTATTAAAGCAAATTATTATTGCCTGTAATTTATCTATTTTAAACTAAAAGCCAATTCAGATGTTACAAGAGAATCTAACAATATTACAAAATTTACACCCAGAGTCAGGTGTGGTGGCACACATCTTTAATACCAGCACTCAGGAGGCAGAGGCAGGAAGGTACCTATGAGATTCAGTACAGCCTGGTCTATATAGTGAGTTCCAGCCCAGCTGGGGCTACAGCTCAAAAAAAAAAACCAAACAAATAAAAAGCATGATTATAGCATGAATAAGTATTTCTTCAACAAAAAACATAAATTTCATGCATTTTAAGTATCTCAAATTTTAATATTTTCAACCATGTCAAAATAATTTATGCCTGGTTCATTTTTAAAAATTTGATGTCTAATTTCAACTGAGGTTCAAATGTCTACCTTTTCTTATTTTTGTAATCCTAATTTTTGTCTAGCACTGTCTCTTTTGGATCCTATTTCCTTGGTTCCTGCCTTTGCTCAACAATATAACTTATGTACATTTGCATATATTATAATTATTCTGAAAAGTTTCCTATGATAAACTCATGCTATCATATTATTTTATTTTTTTTTGTCCTATGTTCCTGCAAAACTTTCCAAATTTTATTAGCATGTGACTATTAATCATTATATAAAAATACATGGGGCTTTGGAACCATCTCTAGTCCCACTGCTCCAGAGCTCAGGCCTTCTCTACTACCTAGTAAGAAGCAGCTTATTCTGTTCCCAATCTTCTTAGGCCTTGACCCTATCACACTGAGGCTGCCAGAGTTTGCCAGATACTGTCATTCATTCCCCTGCTTTGGGACCATCTCCAGTCCAATTGCTCTAGAGTTCAGGCCAGAAGAATAATGCTTAGCTCATGTTAAAAACCAGAAGGAAATGTATTAGTTCAAAATCCTTCTGAAAAATACACATACAATAAATACATGAGTGCATGTGTATAGCTGAAGGCTATATAACAAAAACCAGTGTCAGGCAGTAAGAAAATCCTTTTAAGTTGTTGATCAGGGTAGTCGAAGAGATTCCCCCAATATCACAGGTTATTGCCACAGCCCTTGACTGCCTCTCAGAGCTTGAAGGGAAGACCCTATTACTGAAGACAGGCTACACTTGGGATACTGGACATGGAGCAATTGGGCTGAATTGACCTGGAAGCCTCCTCCCAGGAGGCTAACTCTGATGGATTAGAGGATACTATGTAAGCTACCAAGGGAAAAAACCAATCAAGAGTCCTACCCAGGGATAAAGACTAATAAAGAACAATGGCTAGGCTAGCAAATGATCTCTATTGGTGCAAAGTGGCACTTTTATCTTAAGAGCAATCAACAGCTGTCTAATTGGGATTAAGGCCTGCTCGATGGGAGGGAACTCATATGTAGTACTGTAAACATAGCCATATACATGGCTGGAGAAGTCATAGATCCTAGAGAAAAACCTATTTTTGCCACATCCCTAGGACATTGTAATTTCTTACTATATGCCAAATATGCATCCTCATCTACACAGACAAATGCACCTTTCACTCCTCATCAAAGAAGTTTCTTTTTTGCAACAGATGGAGACTATTACAGAATTCCAAATCTAGCCAAATGCTGAGAATAAGTCTGTGAAATGCTCAACCAAAATGACACATCTTTAGTGCAACCTCTATATTTAGGATGGATGCATCTCAATTCTCACCAGAGAATTTTCCTTCTACAGAAGATGGTGATTAATACGGAAATTCACAATTGGCCAATATACAGAGAACAAGAGACCACAGAGTGCTTATTCCTGATTAGGCCACCTATTACAAACTTCTGCCTCCCAAGGCTTGGGGATCTTTGTGGAAAAGGATATGGAAAGGTTGTAAGAGACAGAGGGGGTAGATGACCATAAGGAAACAGTCTTTCAGACAGCTGATCAATTACTCATATGAATTCACTACAATAGAGACAGCATGCACAAGTCCTATGCAAGATCAAACCAGAAAAAAATCCCAGCATAGACATGGGGAAGTAAGAAAGAAATCCCAACCCATCCGGAGGAAATTTTGGCAACTGATGGCTGCTGGGAGGGGAAAAGACAGCAGTGCCTTTTTTTCAGGGATAAGACTCTTGGTGGGTACAGTGGTTGGACCCATACTAAAGGACATTTGGACTCTATAAAAGACAAATCTCAGACTCCATATGCTATGCTATATATAGAAGAGAGTTCATTAAATTGGATGGGGAGCAGTGGAGGAAGATGTGGATAGGGGAGAGGATCTAAATACTATCAAACTATATAGCATAAAAATCACAAAAGTTCAATAAAAAATAAAATTAACAATACATATGGGAAAAACTACATGAAAAGTAAAAATTGTATTAACAAAAACACTGCAAATGTCCTTAGCAATTCTTTCACTAAATATTTTATTCACATAAGTAAATTAATCTACTATAAAGTATATCCTCATTGAAAAGTTTTATATTAATGTATAATTCAGGTTTATTCTCTTTTAATTAGAACTAGATGCTCTAATAGTAAAGATAATAAAAGGAAGGACATTTCATAAATAACTTACTAAAACTTCTTAATAAATAAAATTCTGTATATGTGTTTTCTTTCCATGTATCTATGTTTTATTTTGTTTGAATTATCCCTCTAAGAGATAAATGAGGTGGGAAGGGATGTTGCTTAGCAGTACAGTGCTTGCCTAGCATAGCTTCATCCACAGTATTGCAAAGAAAAAAAACAAAAACAAAAAAAAAGACAAATGAGAAGATTTTTAAAACACAGCAATTAAGATGCTTCTGAGTGAGTCAGTTCAATTTTCAACCAACTTCATCTTCAGGTCAGGTCTGTCATTAGAATGATAGCCTTGACATAGAGTAGCAAACAACCAAGAAAGATTTCATTATGAACAACTTAATTTTTCAAACAGGAAAATGATTCATTAAATTTTTTAAAGAGTTAGCATTATAACATATACAATTACTCATTACTAATTTATTAAAAGTTAATGAAAATTAAATTTCCTCTTACCAGTTCACTGGTCGATTTTTCTACCTTATTCTCAGTTTCCTCCTTGGTCTGCTCTTCCACAGCAAGATCTCTACTTTAAATTAAAATAAAAGTGTATTAAGAGCATCTCCTCAAAAAGATTACAAATGGTGGCAGAAAAGAGTCTAAGAATTGAATTTTTTAATTTTATTTATTATTTTTATTTTATGCGTATGCGTGTATTGCCTGCACGTAGGTAAGTGCACCCATGTCGTGCAATGCCCACGGAGGTCAGAAGAGGCTGTCAGATCCCCTAGAACTGGAGTTACAGACAGTTGTTAGCTCCATGTGGGTGCTGGGAATTGGGTCTTCTGCAAGACCAACCAGTGTTCTTAACCGCTGAGCCATCTCTCCAGGCCCTAAGAATTGAATTTTTACTGGAAACTTTCACAGTATCAAAGTATCACAAATATATATCAAAGACTGATAATGGGAATAGGTATCACATCTCTTTAGAGACTCAAGTTAAATAAGTTTTGCTAAGTACCTAGTTGATGATGGTAGAGAAAATAGCAAACTGATATAATAAACTCTGTATCTTTTAATACACAATAGACAAAAATATTGGGGCGGGGAACCCTATAGCAGGGCCGGGGAGATGGCTAGTGGATAAAATGTTTGCTGTGTAAGTATGAGGACCTAATTTAGGATCCCTAGTACTCACATAGAAAGTCAGGAATGGTGGCAATGGTCTCTAACTCCAGTGTTGGGGGGCCAGAGACAGGTAAATTCCAGGAGCTCTATGTCTAGCCAGTGTAGTTGAAATGATGAACTTTAGGTTCAAATTAATGTGAGTAATGATAGAAGGAAATGCCTAACGTCAACTTTTGGCATCTATAAACATCTACACACATGAGTGTACCCATATACACATTTACAGAACATAAACTTATGTCACTGTATCAAGGTAAAGAAATCAAGGAAATGAAATATGACCTCCTCTAAGTCTTTGAAAAGTTCTGTGTGTGAGTGGCTATGAAGATATGAACGGTTAGGAAAAAATACATACAATATATAAGAATATATTTGTGTACACACATAAATACACCAACACACACACACACACACACACACACACACACACACACAATTTTGGTAAATAGACCAGTCTGGCCTAGGACTTTTAATCCTCTTGCCTCAGCCTTTGAATGTTGAGGTTACAGGTATGTGCCATAATGTCATAATAAAAAATATCTTTATCACATCATTTTATTTTGGGTTTAGAGCTCCTAGACTTAATTTTGCAGTTTTTCAAAAACACTTTTTAAAGGAAGGAGAATCATATTTATGATGGTAATAAGGAATGACCTGAAAGCTTTCACTTTTGATGTTGATTCACACATGAATTTATGCAGTGTTATATAATCAACTAAAATACATATTTATAAGGTTATTGTATAGCATCATATAGGAAACAGGATTGTATGGGATTTAAATGCTCTTAATAATTGTGCATAGTGGGATAAATAATACTGAGGTAAGAAATATATTTACACAGGATTATACTTTATGAATATCAATTATAGTACATTTATGTACTCATTTCACAATCATGCCATCTATTATTTATGAAGTGATTTTATCAGGGGAAACCTGGGCAGATAAACCACTGAAATATTTCAAAATACGGCTATCAGTGCACTGTCATGGCAAATACAAGCCTATTTTCTACTTTGTTTACTATCTATGTTCATCCACTGCCAAGCCCGTAACAGCTTCCTGTTATTAAGGAATGAACACAGTAGTATTCTGAACCTCCTCTACTTGCTAATTCCATTTCATGGTCATTTACTCTAATTCAATAGTATTCACTTTCAGATGACTATTAGTCAACTGTGACACTTTGGAAACATCCAGATAGCCTAACCCTGCTTCAGAGCTTCTGATACACGAGCTGCTATATTTTCTATAGACTCCATAGTAATGTAGGCATGTAACCCCAACTAATCCTTACTTCCTATAATTATACAGGTTTAAACCCCTTTTCAAGAAGTTGCAAATCTTCCACAGGAAGTATCCAGCATTTAAAAAGTTCCTAATTTTTTGTCTTTTGTTTTCTTATATATATAGTATGTGTGTGTGTATGTGTATAAACATACATGTAGTACTAGGATTGAACTGTGGACCTAGTACCTCTTAGGCACATGCTCTACCATTGAACACCATAATTATGATGTTTTAAATTTTTTATTATGAGAAAAGAGTCTAGCCAAATTTCCCAGGATGACCTCAAATTCAATAGTCGCCTACCTTAAACTCCTGAATAGCTAGGATTAAAGGCATGTGCCACTACATTTAACTTTTTTCTTTTTTAACTTTTTCTTGCTGTTTCCTAGTCAAATGATCTTCCAGTTTTCCTTGCTTCAATATTCATCAAAACATCTTCATCTTTAAAAATCATATCTAATAAGACTTTGTGGAAATCCAATCTCCAGTCAGTAGTGTTTCTTCCACTGAGCCACAGCATCTGTAAATATACTTAGGTACTTTGCTTACAGATGTACTTTTTAAAAATGTATCTTCTAATACATCATAAACCCTAAGTACGAAGCTTTTTTTCCCTTAGTCTTCTCTCTTTAACAAGAAATAAATAATGGGTCTTCTATGTTGTACTTAAGTTACCCTGTATGATGTGGTTATTCGTACAAACATTAAAATCAATGAGATCTTAAACATATTAAGTCAATGTAATGCTGGTTAAAACACTGGTTTGGTAAAACTATCCCAGACAAAGCACAATGTTTGATTCTTAGCCCTTTAGCCAGTGTAGAACCCCTAGAGAATACTTCTAAAAATTAGATTTCACCAAGTCTAAAGTTTCCACCAACCAAAGTTGCTATAATTATTTTGACACTTAGGGGTATCTCACTTGCAGGTTTCCAAGGTTGTGTGGAAAATCTAACGCTATGGTGTCTTTGGAACATAAAAATTGCAGGGTTTTTTTTTTTGTCAAATCATTTCTTACCTCACAAAAAATTCTTCTGTTAGAGAATCCATGTTGCACAATGTTCCTTTAATAAGACTTACTTCAATGCTTGTAAGATGATTTTTACTATTGCCATTTAAAGCTGTAAGAAAAATAATGTTTTTAATGGGAAGGTAAACTTTTTTCTTTCTCCCCTGTATAAAGAGTAAATTAATTTTTCTTGGCACTTGTATAACATAATTTCAACAACCAAAGATAATCACTGCCTATTAATGTACTTTTTTCTAGGCATAGGTATATTTTGTCAACTTATAATCATATTGAATGTTGTACTCTTTCTCAACACTGAATGCTATATCAAAATTATCCTTCATGTTCTTTTAGCCTCTTAGTAAACAATGGTTATACAACCGTCAGTTCATCATCATTTTTCAGTACTGAGGATTATACCTAGGACCTTATGCATGCTAGACAAGTGTTCTATTTACTATTAGACTTCTAACCCTACACCTTTTTCACTTTCTATTTGAACACAAGATCTCACTGAAATGGCCAGTCTAGCTTTGAACTCACTCTTCATTTCATTTTTTTCCACTATAAATGATTCTATAAACTCCATTGGTCTATAACACTTTTACTATATTTATGGCATTTCCTTACAGTAAACCCACAGAACTATAATTACTAGGTCAAAAGATACTTTGAGCTTATTGATGCATGGTGTTAAATGGTTTCCACAGAGACTTATCAGTTCCTGCTTAATTACAACCCTAATAGTGGTAATAATTTTATTTCTTTTCCATGTAAAGAGTATATAGCTACTCCCCCCAAATGTATGATTGTACAGTTCCATAAAATAAGAGATGGGATGTAATGAGCCCTTGCTTATTATATTCTCTGTTTTAAATATTAAATGATTTTTTAGATGTTTCTTGAAAGAACAAAAATACACTGACAATACAAATGAAACAAAAAGGGACTAGAGTATCATTATTGGCTATTTATTTACTAGCTCTATTTATTCAAAGAACAATTCTTATACAATTAGTCCCACTTGATCTCCTTTACATTCTATAGTCTTTAAGCCTCTAGACTCAGCAGCCTCTGTTAGGTTGGCCTCCATTTCTGATCTTAGTAAGCTCAGAGGTGCCAGAGCAAGTGACTATAAAACCATTGCTAAATGCTCTGGGACAAGGGTAGAAATCATAAAAAAAGAAACTGGAAGCTATAGTATAAATAAAGTAGATCTGCATTTCCTTCCTACCAAGCATAAGACAGTATAGTGTCTTATTTGTTTATTTCAGAAACTAGGTAGGCTCAAACAGTATATCTGATACATATTCACAAATCAGACTGGTATATCTTTTTAAAGTTCACTACTAAAAGAAAATTTAGCACATGCAATTCCTAAATCAAGAAAATATATTCTACAAGATGAACTAAAAATCACCTATTAAGAATTCAGATGGTATTTTAAAAACACCATCTGCTTTGTTTTCGTTTTTGAGACAGGATTTTACTATAGTGCCCCAGTTGGTCCAAAACTCCGTATGTAGACCATTCTAGGCTGGCCTCAGTTTCACAGCTATCTACCTACCTCTGCCTTTGGAGTACTGGGATTAAAGGTATGCTCTACCACACCCTGATAAACATTGTTTTTATGATGCTGATCCTCCTTTAAAGTCCCCAAAGTCAGTTCTTCACAGAGATTAAAAACTGCAGGATCTAACTCTTGCCTTAAGGTATGAGTATCTTTTTTTTTTTAGTGAATTTAAGACAGGGGAGGAACCAAGTCCACCTTGGTACAATGTCTCTAAGTTCTATAGAGATTACTGCAAATCAGGTTTATTCTTATACTGGCAATATTCTACATTTGACTAATATTAAGCAGTACATAGAGATTTGAGAGGCAAGAATAATTCAAGAAATTGATGTTGATACTACTAAAAACACAAATTCAAAGACACATGGCAGGAGGACTAAGAGAAATTTTTTAAATTTCACTATGAAAAACAAAGGCACCTCTTAATTTCTTGCAGGTCCTCAATCAAACACTTCTATGTATCAGCTTTATTATTCATTTATGCAGAATCCGGGTCTCTGGAATAAATCATTTTATTCTGCAGTTTTACTAAGCAAACAAAAATCATAGTCATATTTAAATTTGAAATCTCTGTTCAATTACTGATGAAAAATAAAACCCAGCTAGTCTTTCACACTAGATTAGATCTGTATCATGTCTTTAATAAAGATGTACAAAAAAGAACTAGCTTTTGAGAATTCTGTAATTCATTGAACTATTTTTTCTTATATGGTTTCTATAACTCTGGTAATTCTAATAAAAAGTAATAATTAAGGTATTATTTTACAGCCACAACACACAAATATACGTCTTTTCTAGACATTTCCAGAATTTATAAACACTCAAACATGGAGACCTCTTTTTTCAATAAGGTATCTAATAAATAACTGCACAGATTACAGGAAAGACATAAAGGAGAAAATTTTCTGGCTACAGGGTATACAACAGATTTCTATTAAACTGTTCAGTATTAAGCTGAAAACAGGTGAAAAATCAGTAATTCAAAAGATATTTACATCCTGAATTAATATTTAAGAAAAGCTAGTAGCTTTTCAGTCTGTTTAAAATACAACCTGGGATGAATCTCTGTGATGAAAGGTTTTTCAGGAGAGGATCACCAATATCATTGCTTCCCAGGAGCAAAGCAGGTGTTATGTGGCAAACGCCAGCATTCAGGAGCATCAGTAGCACTTTACAGCCTCTGCTGGGGAGGAAGACCTAAGTGCCTAGCAACCGAAAGGAAGTCACCAGCCTGAAATGTTACTACTGTTCTACTGTAATAATCCAAAGGTACTTAACATTCTAGAAGAGCTTAGAGGAACCCACTTAAAGTCAAGATTAACATAAGAGAAAGGGTGAATCTAGTTTCTACTAATGTATCCAACAGAATTTCTTTGTTGGCAAGAAAATTGATTTATTGTCTTCCTGAAACTAAGAGACTGCTTTTCCACAGAACTTATTCAGGCTCCTGTTGGTTGACTGGAGGGTAAGCTGAAGTGCACTGTAATTATAACACATCTTAGCCATCAGTAATTTTATCTGCAGGCTGTTTTTCACTAGCAGAAAAGTAAGTGTTGCTATCTATATCAGTAATATGCCTTTCTTCTTGTTGCCTCTGAGACCTCAGTTCCTCTTTTTTATTTATTGCAATTACAACAAACTCATTTAAGTTATGAAAGTGGTTTTGGTTTCCATTTTTAGGATGTGCTTATTTACATCAAAGTAGGCATGACACTTATTTATGATCATTTAAACATTTAAGTTAGAGCATCTGTCACATCCTTTAGACTATATACGGGAATATTTTTTGCAAAAGTCCATTCAAATGTTTATCTTGACTAAGCTACCTCACCAATTTCAAGGCTCTAATTTGCTAACAAGTTCACATTTTCAGAAGGTGGGTAGAATCCTATGAATTCCCCACCTTTCCCCACTCTGGTACTTACAGATGACATAATGGCAGGCGGAAAACCATCAGTGTAGGAAGCACTAAAAGGAGAGCTTACACTTTTCTCAAGGCTAGTAGCTTGAAAATAATGTATTTATTTTTCAGAAGAGAATTTTATTGAGAATTTTTCTATGTAAACTGAACTTTTCTCAGCCCCTTCCTCGCAACCAAATCTAAAGATATTCTCATCTCTTGAAGCACAAAACTGTCCTGGGTTGAGAACCACTAAGTTAAAATTTAGAATGCACTAAGATAATAAAAGCATAATTAGTAAACTTGGGAAAGATATTTTTTTTCTCAGAAAGAAAAGACCATTCTGGTTATTATGCAGTATATACAAATACAAACAATAAAATGTCCCTACAAGAAAGTGAAATGGCAAAATATCTCATTTGAAATCACTTTATAAGATTACAGAAGCCTGTTCCTGAACATACTGGCTGTTTAACTTTATGTAAAATTTATTCTGTGTGCCTCAGTTTCTAAAAATAGAGATAACAATGGCAATTCTACTTCATGGTGTTATGAACAGTACTTGTCACATTGCAAGCATTATAAAAAATTGTTCCTTTCACCACCATTTTCATCATCATAATTATCACCATCATTTCTCTGTTTAAGTACACAGCAAAATTTGCTCACTTTTCCTCTATCTCTCTACTGTAATGGGAAAATACAACTGTATGGGAAATAAAGGTAATGATGAGATTTAAGAGAACAAAAATTATTTTTCAACTATATTAAATACAACATAAACAGAAATTTAGAGTGCACTGTTCAGCCCCTTCCGTTTTCGTATCAGCACAAAAAACATCTATTGTTGTACTCTGGTATCAGTGTATCATTTTTACCAGACCATTACTGATAAAAACTTAACTTGCTCTGAGTTAGAGACATTAAAGGCAGTTTTGCTATTATAAAATGCTGAATTTAACAATTCTGAATAGATAATGATAAAATTTGATAGTTTTAAAAAGGTGTTTTCATGAGTCTGTGAGAAATAAGCATATTCCAGAAGTTCATGAGTCTGTTGAGAAACAGAATCTGATGCAGGTAGCTTATTACTCCTCCTAAATTTTACCCAAAAAAACTCCGAAGACATGCACTGAAGAGTTGGCTCAGTGTTTAAGAGCACTGGCTGCTCTTGCAGAGGACCTCGGTTTGATTAATAGCACCGACACGGCAGCTAACCAATGTCTGTAACTTCAGTTCCAGGGGATCCAACACCTACACAGGGATGAACATACATGCATGCAGGAAATACACTCATATACATAAAATAAAAATAATAAAAAATATAAAAAATTCTTAAGACATGATGTTATAATTACTACAAGATTTAAAAAC